TTCCTGAATTGTGTAAGAGTACCAGAATCCACCAGATGGAGTTCAGTACCCCTCTCTATACCTACAGAGCATCTCAAATCCCAGTGCTGGGCCACCACTTCCATGTGTGCAGGCTGCTCATGAGGGTACCCAAACTAGAAGGATATCCTCCATTTCATATTTGTTCTTATTGCAACAATTTCTTGCAAATAGAAGAAAAGCATTTTGAAGAAGGAAAGGCTTTTAACTTGCATAGAGGTAGTGTATAGACTAGTACGGCCCTAATCTTGTCATTTATCTCACTGGAATTTACTTATCTTTCCCTTTCTATGGCTGCTCTTTAAGAGAAGTCATGAGCCAGCAGGTGGTGTAAAGGTTAAGGTGGTGGACTCTTACATGACCAACTGCAGTTCAATCCTAAATCCAGCAGCTTGAAACTCATGCTGGGCACGTGTGCACGTGTGCCAAAATCCCATGAGAAGAATGGAGGAGAAGGGATGGTGGCATGGCCATCCCCTGGTATTTCTTGCTTTCTGTCTGTCTCTCTCTCTCTCTCTCCACTAAGCAAAAATTTCTCTAAAAAAAATTTAAAGAAAAAAACCAGACTGCATAGAAATGGCAAAACGAAGTCCAAATGTTGGTCCTGGCTGATACAGCACCTTTGAATTTAACCACTACCTACTCTTTCTCTGCCTTAATGAGTTATATGAAGCTGAACAAGTTTCATAATTCTTGAGCCTTGTTTTTTTTCACTTGTAAAATGGGTAAAGGAATGCTTACCTATTTTACCTCACTGTGTTATCCAAAGGCTCAGATAACAGAATGGATATGAAAACACGTTTTAGCTATAATATAGCATATTAAAACATACCTCATTAAAAGATTACTTGGGAAACCAGCAGATGGAGTAAGGATTATGTTGCTGGATTCCCACGTCATCGACTGTGGTTTGAGTCCCAGACCCGGCAGATTAAAACTCACGCTGGGCACGTGTGCCTGTCTGTCCAAGATCCAAAGAGAAGAATGGAGAAGGGATTGTGGTATGGTTATCCCCCTGTGGGATGATACCTTGCTTTCTTTCTTTCTGTTCTGTCTCTCCAGTGAGCCCATGTACCCTAAAGCAAAAATCTCTCTTAAAAATTACTTGGAATTAAAAAAAAAAACAAAAAACTATTCATGAAAAGAGTTACATGCGAAAAAAGCTCTTGGTTCACAAAGAATTGAAAATAGGAGCTTGGGAGCTCCTATTATTTCTATGACAGTACTCAAACTCAGTTTTGCATTTCTACTTAATAAAAGAAGAAAGTATTTAATTCTTGTCTTCTCTTCAGTTAATTCTTGCCTTCTCTTCCAACAAAGTACATAAGAGACAATTTATTAATTGATGTTTTCAATTTATTAACCAAATTCCAAATGCATATGTAATACTATATGGTCATGAATGACCATAAATATCTTAAAAATTATTTATATTTTTAAATTTCAGTTTGCCAAATGTTCCAGCAATTATTTTTCTTCTCATTTAAGTACAAGAAACATTCAGACTATACTTTTATAGATGTGGAAAACTTCGGGGTCAGTACTGTTTAACATAGGAAACCAAGAGACAAGAGGTGAGGTCATTATATTTTTTAATACAAGTCCTAAGAACGGAATTTGTACAGTTTTTCTCCAACCTATAAAACTTGTCTTCTTAAACACCCTTTTAAATATTTACTTTTCTCTTATGACAGCAATAAGATATGAGAGTCTCCGCCATGGAACTTATTACTTGGCAGTTGAACTATATGGGAGGCCAGAGTTTGATTCCTGGCCCATACTAAAGAGCCAGTGCAATGGCGTGTGCCTATATTCCCAGTTACTAGGAAGGCTTAGGCAGGAGGATCACAAGTATGACAGTGTCTAAAACAACACACACACACACACTCACGAGCACCACCCCTTAAGGAAAAAAAAAAAGGGGGGGCAAACACAGTAGCCCAAATTAAAAAATAATGAGGCATTGATTCAAATTGCTAAATAAATGTCCAAGAATTTCTGTTTCATAAGTTAACATATTTAATATCGTTGAATAAGAATTTTAGGATGCCAATGACTCTTCAGCCATCATCTTCCAAAGCTGTGGTGTGAAAGTGCAATCTGGCTGTGACATCCATCAGGCTGCTGGTGCCAGCGTTTATTTTACTGATCGAGTTGGTTAGGTGGATGCTCCCTTCCTCCTCTCCCACTCCTTATGTACCACCTCCCAGACCACGCATAGCTCCAAAAACCGGTTACAACTTGCTTTCAGAGGTATAAGTAGTTTTGCTTAATTTTAAAACTTTTACTCTTCATTTTTCATCACTATTCATCATTGGTCTTCAACAGAACAATAAGCGAGTTATTTGTGGACTGCAGAAAGCTTTATCTGGCTTTTAGGTATGTTTATGCTTTTAAAATTAATTTTTAAGTTTACATTTAATCACTGTACATCCACAATGTACAACATGGTTATATTGGGTTGTTGGGAAAATGATGACACATTTTGGCATAGGAAAACATTAAAAAATATGTCATGCCTTTCCCAACTACCAAATATATTTCAAACCTTAACACCTAGAAGACATAATGAATAAGACATGAGACGTTTCAGTTTGTGTATACAAGAGGATACTTTACTTGTACAGGCTGTTGATCTAAAATGAGAAGTACTATGAAGTTTTTGTTTGTTTTTGGCCAGAGGGTGCATGCCCTTACCGGAGAGAGAAGGAGAGGGAGAAAGCATCTGTAATGGGGCCTGGTCACATCGCGATCCCGTCCTTTCCAATTCTCTTCCCTGTCAGGATTTTGGAAAGGCACACACGTGTTCCTGGCATGTGTTTCAAGCAGTCGAGGCAGGAATCTAAACACAGTTAGCCAAGAGGGATCCATTTGCCTTAAACAACAAGCCACAAGGCTGGCCAAGAAATACTACAGGTATTATATGAAGGTAATAAATGGAGATGACTAAAGTGTACATCTGAATTTCAAGAAAAATAACTACAAGATACCTCTTCCCAGGGTCCCCGAGAAACATAACATTTCTGGAGGAGTAAAAAGGTTATTTTCAACACATCTAAAAGCACTGTCTTTAAAAAAAAAAAATTATTTTATTTAATTGCATTCATTGTAATTATTTTATTTTTTTTAAAAAAAAGTTAACAAGAGAGAGAAAAAGAGAAAGGGAAAATGTGAAAGCAAGCTGCTAGGTCCAGGATTCAAACCGTGGTCTGCCACATGGGAGTCCAGCTGCCTTAACCACCATGCCACCTGCCAGCTTGCCCCTTTTTTAAAAAGAATTATTTAATTATATTCATTGTCATTATTTTATTTTATTAAAAAACACTGTCTTGGGACCAGCAGTTAGTGTAATGCCTATGTCGCTGGACTCCCACGTAGTCAGTCGCAGTTCGAGTCCGGGATCTGGTGGCTTAAACTCTCGCCAGGCGCATGTGCGTGTGTGCCCAAGATCCTGAGAGGAGAATAGAGGAGAAAGGATTGCGGCGTGGCCATCTCCCCTGGGGGGTGATTTCTCGCTTTCTGTCTCTCTGTCTCTCTCTGTCTGGCTGTCTCTCTGGCTGGCTGGCGAGCGCATGTGCCCTATAGTAAAAACCTCTCCAAATAAATAAATAAATAAATAAATAAGTACTGTCTTTATAGTTTCTCCATATTCCTGTCTTCCAAATGTTTTATGAAGTATTAGAAAATAAACGATATACAGTCGATATCGCTTACGAAATCCAGTAAACATCATATACAATAACTATAAACAGAATGCTTTATTTATTTTTTTTGGAAGAGGTTTTTGCTATAGGGTGCGTGCACTCGCCAGACAGCGAGAGAGAGACAGACAGCGAGAAATCACCCCCCAGGGGGATGGCCACGCCGCAATCCCTTCTCCTCCATTCTCCTCTTGGGATCTTGGGCGCGCGCCTCTTGGGATCTTGGGCACGCACGCACACGCACCCGGTTTGAGTTTAAGCTGCCAGGTCCGGGACTTGAACCGCAGTCGACCACACGAGAGTCCAGCAACATAGCCATTACACCATCTGCTGGTCCCCAAAAGTGGTTTTTGAGAGAGTTATGATTCAATCATAAAGGGCAATGTGCAGGTTGTTAAAAGTCTGGGAACTATTATCAAACATTAATTGCCACTCAATTTTTTAAAATAAAGTAACTCTTACAAGCAATAAATATTGGGAACAGCAGATGGCATAATGGTTATGTCGCTGGACTCCCATGTAGTTGATCGTGGTTCGAGTCTAGAACCCGGTGGCTTAAAACTCATGTGGGGTACGTGTGCGTGAGTGCTCAAAATCCCAAGAGGAGAATGAAGGAGAGATGCAGCGTGGCCGTCACAGGGGGGTGATTTCTCACTTTCTGTCTCTCTGGAGAGCACACTCACCCTATAGTAAAAATCTCTGTCTAAAAGAAAAAAAGCAATGATTACTTGTCCAGCAGGTGGCATGGGGGTTAAGGCGCTCAATTCTCACATGGCCCACTGAAGTTTGAGTCCCAGACCCAGTGCTTGTAAATCATAGTGGGTATGTGTGCAACGCATGTGCCCTAAATCTTGAAAGAACGGAAGAGATGGAACTGTGGTATGGCCATCCCCATAGGAGGTGATTTCCCACTTTCCCTCTCTTTGGCAAGTGCACGTGCCCCATAGCAAAAAACGGGAACCAGCAGTTAGCGTAAAGGCTATGTCGCTGGACTCCCACGTAGTCGACCGCGGTTCGCGTCCCGGACTCGGTGGCTTAAAACTCACGCCGGGCGCATGTGCGTGCATGCCCAAGATCCCGAGAGGAGAATGGAGAAGGGATTGTGGTGTAACCATCCCCCCTGGGGGGCGATTTCTCACTTTCTGTCTCTATGTCTCTCTCTGTCTGTCTGGCGAGCGCACGCGCCCTACAGTGAAAATCTCTCCATAAAAAAAAAAGAAAGAAAGAAAGAAAAAAAAAATCAACAAATACTATATAAAATTATATGAAGTGTTGTCTCACCTTCATGACATCTCTGTATGACCGAACAGCTGAGACTTTTCTCTTCTCATCATCTTCATCTTCCAGGCCTTCGTCCGCAGCCTCGTATCCCTCATCGTTGCTACCATCAGCTTCTACGGTGTTGGCCATATGATCGATGAGCTGCTCTAGGGGAGGGCTTAATTCTCTTTCTTCATTCTCCTTCAAACCATAGTCCAGTGCTTTATAAATAATAATTCCCAAAGATTCAATAACCTAGGGACATCAAAGAAGATGATTAACGAAGATGACTAAACAGTTTTATAGAACTAATGATAAGGTATAAAATACTCAGTATGATATTTATGCTAGGTCTAATCTAGTCCATTTCAGAAACATGACAAGTATTTAATGAGAAATATAAAAGTATCACCTATGCATTGTTAAAAAAAAAATCTCAAATGAATTTTTTTTTTTTTAATATGGGTCTCACTATGTTGCAATCCTCTTGCTCCAGCCTCTAGAGTGGCTGGGACTAAAGCTCACACCACCATACCCAGATATTAAGGTGGGATGGGAATCAAGCCTAGGTCTCTAATGTGGCTTCAGCCTGCCAAGCAGCAGCATCTACCTGTGCATGCTACCACAGCTGGGCCTGAGATGGAAATTTTTAAAAAAGAGTTATTTTATTTAAGTTTATTATTTATTTACTTATTTTAATTTGACCAGAGAGGGACAGAGAGAGAGTGAAAAAAGCAAGCTGCCAGGTCTGGGACTTGAACAGTGGTCGGCTGTGTGGGGAGTCCAGTGCACTTAACCACCACGCCACCTGCTGACCCCTGATTTTTTAAAAAATAATTACTTTATTTAACTTTATTATTTATTTACTTATTTTAATTCTGAGATGAAAATTTTTTTGTGATTTCTTCAAACTAATACATCACACACACACACACTTTTTTATGCTTTCTTAGATCTACACTGTATGTGAAGATCGATATTCTCCATGCAGAGTAAATACTATTATTTTTTATTTTTTATTTTTTTTGGTGGAGAGGTTTTTACTATAGGGCAAGTGCACTCGCCAGAAAGACAGAGACAGACAGAGAGACAGAAAGCAAGAAATCACTCCCTGGGGGATAGCCATGTTGCAATCCCTTCTCCTCTATTCTCCTCTCGCAGGATCTTGAGCATGCATGCACACACACCCAGTGTGAGTTTAAGCCACGGGACTCAAACCGTGGTCAACTACATGGGAGTCCAGCAACTATCTAATTAGAGATTTCATAGACATCAACTAAAAGACTGAAAACTCAGTTATTGGAAGCAATTAACTTAAGCCTAAACAAAAATACCTATTGACATCTATGTGTACAGTGCTCATGAAGTTCCATTCCATCACTGGAACTATGTATCTCTCCTATGTATTTCTCACAAATGTCTCTCATATGTACCAACTGAGAGACTTGTTCAAACTCTAAATTATCTTTTTTTTAAAATAATTTTTTTTTAAGTGTGTGTGTGTTTCTTTCTAACCCTTGCCCTAATCCTAACTAAAACCTGAACTTTCAATGTAGTGCATGAATAATCCTACCTACCATCAACTTCTACCAATAGTACTACCCAGGCAATATGAACCTAATTTATGAACAATGGATACATTGCTGAATATTACCCTGACAACTGCTCCATACTTGGTAACTACAGGGACATCTACTGTATTCCACAATACTGCCTTCCTTTTCTGCTCAGAAAAAAACATACATATAAATATATGTATAAAATGCTTTTAATTTTTAAATTTAATTTTATTTATTATTTTTAATTTGCTATAGTGTATAAACATTCACCAGAGAGAGAGAGAGAGAGAAAGAAAGTGAGAAAGTAAGCCACAAGGTCTGGGACTCGAACTGTGGTGACCCATGTGGGAGTCCAGCACCTTAATCACTGTGCCATCTGCTAGCCCCTAACCTTTTAATTTTACTTTATGATTCCAACAGTTCAATTCATTTCACCTTAGCTTTTATTTTATTTTTTTATTTTTTTTTTAAAGAACACAAGCAATGAAGTCAAAGATTTAGGATTATGTGTTGACTTTTATCACTAACCATCTGACTGCAAATTATTTTAGTCGCTATTTTTCTGATGTGTAAAGTAGGTTTTAGTGGTATCTACAGTTCATGAGATTTTGTTAAAACTAAATGCATTCACTATGCTGGAGTACCTAATACTGTTCCTCACTTATACTGGGCACAGTAACGGTTATCTGCCCTCCCCCCCACCCAGTCGCCAGCTTACTCTTCCAATACTTATCTATTTACTCCCACAATAAAATAAAAAAAAAAATGAAACTTTAATTTTCTTGATTCCATTTGTAGATAGTGAATGATACATTTTTTTTTCAAAGTGGTTTATACAGTATCAAAAAAAAGTAAAGTCAAAAATTTCAATTTTTTTAAAGAGAGATTTTTGTTATAGGGCTTATGTTCTCACCAGAGAGAGAGCGAGACAGAAAAGTGAGAAAAGTGAGAAATCACTCCCCAGGGGGATGGCCACACCACAATCCCTCCTCTGCTGAGAGGAGGATTTTCGGTACCCGGTGTGTGTTCTAAGCCACCGGGTCCAGGACGCAAACCGTGGTCAACTACATGGGAATTCAGAGACATAACCATTATACCATCTGCTGGTTCCTAAAGTTAAAAGTTTTTATAATGAGTTAAACATTATAGTCACTGTCATCATCTACTATAGCCCTTATAAAACACTCAGTCATGCACTTAAAATATCTTCACAAAATCCGAAATGTACCTTATCAAATGAAATAATACCTTCTCAACCTTAGTATTTGAACTGAAAATAATGCATAAAAATTCCTAACTTCTAGTTTTTGTTTGTTTGCTTAAGGTTTTTGCCATAATGTGCTTGCATTCTCCAGAGAGAGACAGAGAGAAGGAAAGTGAGAAATCTCCCCCCCGGGGGGGATGACTACACTGTTAGTCCTTTTATTCCATTCTCTCAGGATTTGGGGCATGCACATGTCCGGAGTGATTTTCAAGCCACTGGATATGGGACTAAAACTGCGGTCAACCTTGTGGGAGTCCAGGACCTTGACCACCATGCCACCTGCAGTACCCTAATTTCTAGTTTTTAAACAATGCTACTTTTCAAATAATTCTCACTAAAAATATGTAGTATTTTAATTGAATATTATGTTCTAAGCTTGGACTCCAGCCACTATTTTCAAATAATGGATTTAAACAATGAGTCTTTGAAGGTCCAAGGTAAGTGACTAAGTCCCCTGTCCTGGCAGCCTCCCTGGGCCCCTGCCACTGTATGCACTGCCTTCTCTGGAGACAGCACCTTCGATAGCTTCCTGGCATAAGGAACACACTGCTTGCTCAGACCCATTCTCGCCTCAGGCTGATGCTACATGGGGCAGGGGTTTTAACTGTCATCTCAGTGACAGTAGATGCTATCACTGTGATGTGCACACAATACAGAATGTGTTAAATTGACGGCCAGCCAGCTGCATGGTGGCTGGGGCAGATGGATCCCCCCACATGGCCAACTGTGTGGTTTAAATCCCAGACCAGCAGCCTGAAAAACATGTGGGCACATGTGCATTCATGTCCAAAATCCTGAAAAGAGGGAGAAATGGAGGAGGACTGAGCATGACCATTGCCCGGGGTGGGGGGTGCTTTCTCACTCCCCCCACAACTCCCCGTTCTGTCTCTCTGGTAAGCACACACACTCCAGCAAAATTAAACAAACAAAAAAAACCTTGAAAATTGAACAGAGAATGGTCACTTTAACAATAAGAACATGAGGGAGCGGCATGTTGCGTAGTGGCTAAGGGAGCGGGGCTCCCACATGGCTGACTGCAGTTCAAGACCTGGACCCGGCAGCTTGCTTTCTCACTTTCCTTCTTTCTTTCTCTCGCACTCTGTCCATCTCTGGTCAAATTAAAAAAAGTAAATAAATAAGTTAAATAAAATAATTATTTTAGAAAATTAATGACAGCGTGATAGTTAATACAACAAAAACATGAGAAATCGGGCCAGCCCATGTTGTGTTGTTTAAAGTAGCTGCCCACGTGACCAGCCTGCACAGTTTGAGTCTTGGGACCAGTGGCTTGCAAGAGACTCTAGGTGCATGAGTATGGGTACCCAAAAGCTTGAAAGAGGGTGAAATGGAAGAGAAGGGATTTTGGCATGATTTCTCACTTTCCTCTCTCCTTCCATCCACTGTTTAATCCATTCCAATCTGGTATCTGTCCTCCTGAAGCCACTGAAGCCACGGTCAAGTGTCAGACAATCTCTCTATGCCAAATCTAACCCATCCTCATTCTAAATGCCAGCTCAACAGCCTTTGATACAATGGACTCCTTTCTTCATTCTCAACATTCTGGACGGCTGGATTTCCTCCCAGCATTTCCTCCTCCACAGTCTGTCTGTGTGTCTATAATCCCTGCATTTTAAATGATGGAAAGCCTCAGAGTTCACATACTCACCTTCTTGCACCATTTCTTGCAAAGCGCTGCACACATTACCAATGTCAGACATACGGTACGTCTTCCCAGACTTCCTTAAGTTCTATTTCTAGATCAGTTTGTCTCTGGCTTAATCTCCTACATGGTCTCACCTACTTAATACCGTCACATGAATAAGTAATAAGCACCTCAAACTTCAGTGTTTGCTTATTCTCTATCTCCTCTGCTACTACGTAAGTTCTGAAAGGCCTGGGATCTTGTCCATTTTTTTCACTACCGTACATGCACCTCTGTAGTTCTTGCTCCAAGCAGATACTAAATAAATGTCTCATAATTAAACAGTCACACATCTACCCCTTAGAGTTTTGTTTTGTTTTGCAGCTACAAAATGAAATAGCAGAAATCTTTTCAGAAAAGTTATAGAATTTTTATCTTAAAAATATGAGTTATCAAGAAAAATAATTTTGGCTCTCTTTAAATACAAGTGGTCTCTCAACAAATCAACACTGAATTTAGGTTCTTTTTAAAACATAAAACTGACTAGAATCGATAATTATACTACTATTACCCAGCACACCATCACTTTTCATCATTTTATTATCACAGCTCCACAATCTTTCTTTCTTTCTTTTTTTTTTTTTTTTGGAGAGGTTTTCGCTATAGGATGCTTGCGCTCACCAGACAGAGAGAGAGAAACATAGAGACAGAAAGCGAGAAATCACCCCCCAGGGGGGATGGTCACGCTGCAATCTCTTCTCCTCCATTCTCCTCTTGGGATCTTGGGCAC